GTTATCACTTTTCATTTTTCCTATTTCTCTAAAACTGTAAGTTGAGGCAGTCATGAGTTGCTTAACAGAAATACGTTCTGAGATATGTGTTTTTATCTGTTATCACTGTGGTGGAATTATGAGGGTACTTAAACTAAGACAGCTACATGAGGCAATACAAACTATAGGACTACTGTTGTTTATATAGTCCATTCACCAAAACAATTATGCAGCACATGACTGTACATGTATTTCTTTATACCATTTTTTCTTGTATCTATAAAAGGGTGCTAAAGAAATACATCAGCTAAGAAGATACTAATTGTAATGGAAAAATAATTTTGTAGGACACAGAATGTAATGGAATTGAGACTAAAAGTTATGAGATTAATCTATTCTCTATTTTTAACAAGTACAGAGTATACTATTGCTAACATCCTGTATTTCAATTTAATATGAATATAAGCATCACCTACCACACACAGCACGCTGAATCAATGAATGGAAATTGAAAACATATGCCTGACAAGCTTCACATGGTCTCTAGAGAGCTTTATGGAGTGGAATTTTTCCCCTCATACAACATTCATTCAGCAAGCACAGATACAGATATGGGAGCAGGTATTTAGACACAGAAAGAAGGAAGAGATAATTACTTTTCCAAAACTCACTCCTTACCCAGAAACAGGAATGAGATACTAAACTATAGTAAAATGCCAAAATATAAGCTAGAGACACTAGGTACTATGGCTAATTTGAAAGACAGAATAATTACTTTAAAAGCATCAACTAGTAATAGTTATATTTAGTATTACGTACGTTAGATAAACTTATGAAAGTGTACTAATATTTTCATTGCTAAACCAGCAGGGACATCTGCTCAATTTCACATTCAACAGAAGATGGACAGACATTAGTAGAGATGTATTCTCTTGCGCTAGGAACAGGGAAAGGAGGAAAAAAATCTGTCAGGACAGGAAAGTGATAAAAACTAAAGATGTGAAAATGTGTTCTGTATGTATTATACTGCCCAAAAGAACCTTTTAATTTGCAAGCACATAAAATGTGTAGAATAAATCGACTTGCCAAGGAAAGCAGTTAAGGGATTACAGAGTTTAGCTACTTTCTTTTTTTCCCGTTCTTCCTTCCAAAAAAGAAAGGAAGGAAAAAAAATTTGTGACCTGGTAGGTAGGCATGCACAACTGACTTTTGCCTCACTAGGTTCGACAGTTAACTATAGATATAGAAGGCTTAACGTGAATTTAAATCTGTCTAACTACACACTACTGATAGTACCTAGATTTGTCTAACAATTCCTTCTTTTCTGCCATAGATTTTTTTTTTTAAATTTCAGAAAATATACAAACTAGGCCCCAGAGCTGCGGTCTAGCTAAACTATTATTTAAATTAATAACAAAGACTATTAAAGTGTTCTTTTGCCCAAATCTGAGTCATCCACTATTCCATCATTTTCTAAAGTTTAGCTTCTCAATATTTACATATATATATTAATATACTGGTTGCTGTCATTTAGAGTTCATCTTAAGACTTTCAGTTTCATAAACAATTGGAAGCACAAGCGAGGGTACAACAGGTGGCAACTGAAACAAGAGACAATGCAGATGTTCCCGGATTCTCCCTTTAAAGAAGTGCTTATGGGTTTAGCAAGGTCAAGAAGAAAAAGGAGAAAGTGTGGCTGGGTGTACACACACCTCGAAAGATACGCACAAACCTAGAGGATGGCTGCTCACGTCTACTTTTACCAAGGTTGATGTGGCTGACCATGATTAAGGCTTTAACACTATTCATTACTGTTAGCAGTGCAGTTACATGAGCACTCTGAGCAATTCATTTTATAACCATTTTGAAAATACACTGTGCAGGCTGGGGATATAGCTCAGTGGCACAAGCACCTGCCTGGCAAATGCAAAGCCCTGAGTTCGATTCCCAGTACCAAAAAAAGAAAAAGAGAGATTGAAAATCCACTGTGTAGCAACATTCCATTAAGAAAAAGCGAAGAGATTAGTTGTTTTTAAAAATTTAAGTTTCATTTCAAATAATGTGCATCTACTAAAATGGACTTGTGAATTTAGGGGGTACTGCCTGCACAGAAAACAAAAGGATTTGTGTGTTTTATTTACCTGAAATAGGACACACTACTAACTGAAATATAATGCAATTATTATAGAATCATTTCTTCAGTCTCTCAAAACAATCTGCAGTGGTTAAAGGAAAATAACTGATTTTAACTCATGCTGTAAATCTACTCAAAGACCACAACATAAAAGACAGTTTAAAATGTGTCAGTGCCCTGCACTAACATGACTATGACTTAGTTTAGTATCCAGTCACAGCACTTAAACTCCCTTAAATTCTCCTGTATTGTTGTAATACTCTCAGGTAAGTTAGTGGGCTGATATCAAGTTCTTCAAGTACACATCAGAAAATCATACTATGCAGTTCTTACTAGAAAAAGGCAGCACATGCACGGGTCATACTGCAATTATCAACTTAATTTTATTCCTATAATTAGTTTAAGACTTTTTTTTAAAGGAAACATCTAGATATCTACATTTTTACTTTAAAAAATACTTGATATATTTGTCATTTAAAGTTCCTGATGCTATATTATTAAATATGATTGACTTTAAATATCATCATGTGTCTCATTTTCAAATTTAAAAAGAGAAATTACGGTGTTAAAAGTATTTCTGGAAAATATTAATAAATATCTCATTTTCATTGAAAACCATTAGGTTTAATTTTGTGTACAGTTCTAGCTGAGACTAAAACAATATTCAAATGACTAAAATGCAAACTGTACTTAATCTAACAGTAATTTTCAGATGCTATAATTAATCTATAAATACGTACTTTTAAAGGGAATAGTTACAACCTGTTTTGGTGTATTGAACATTAATTTGTGATGTTATAAACAAAAACTCAGCCGAGCATGGGGGCTACACCTCTAAACTATACTGACTGTACTGTGCATAAGCTGTTGAACCTGTTTGTCTGTCCCAGCTCTGTCACTGAGGACCACCAGTGTCTGACTCCTAAAGCTCCTCAGGGGTGTTAAATGAGACAGGGCACACCAGCAACTAAACGATGCCTGGAATGTAGTGGTACAGAGCGCAGCTCCTCTGACGGCACAAGATCATAATGAGAACACTCCAGGCTCAATGAGATGCCTGATGGCACTGCCATTCTCATACACTTAGGACATTACATTGGGCTTACAACTTATAGAACTTGTTTTAATGGAAAAAAAAAAATCAGAACAACACAATTCTGGGTTTCATCTGAATTATCAAAATTTACATCTAGAAAGAAGACTCTCTAATAACAGTACACAGGGGTTAATACCTATGTAACTGTGAAGACCAGTTTTTCAGAAATAAAGAATGAGACCAATTTAAACAAAAAAATATCCTTTTTGATTTTCTTCTCTCAAACTTAGCATGTGGCTTTCATATGATAGGTAGAGTTATTAGAATACCTAGATGCTATTAGCTCATTTGAAAGTGCAGCCAGCTTCCTGAAAGAAAAGCAGAATAAAAAGAACACAAATTTATAAGCTCAGAATTACTGAATTTGAGGGATTATATAGAACAGTAAAATAATCCAATTCAACTCCAATGTGTCATACATGAATAAACTGAAATCCAAAGAAGTGTCTAATTCAAGGCCACAAAGGTATTTTGTAGAAGACTAGCAAATATTTTAATAAACTAATTCAATCTACTTTGGCCCAGGCCAAGAAAGCAAAGTAGGTTAGTGGTGATAACTAGGCTGAGAGTAACTGAAGAAAGTCCAATCATAATAAACCCAAATATCCTAATAGTGAAAGCTTGTCTAGCACCAAGAGAAAAGGTTACTACTCTAGGATATAGAATGGACAATTTTGGCAGTGAGGAAAAACTACCTTCTACAGCTCACCCACAGTTCATAAAAATATTTTTGGTTCATATAAATGGTCTCCATTCCTACCACATTGATTTGAATTTAACTGCAGATTTTTAATTTCTGGTTAAAATAGTCAAAATTCAGAGCTTTTTGTAAACATAAACCTAAATTCTTCAAAACAGTAACATTTTATTTGTAACAGGCTAGTTTTGAGGTGTAGGGGTATTTAAGTGAAAAACAGACATGAAAGTTTAACTTTATTTTTACTCTGATTTCAAACTTCTATTGACAAATAACTAGCCCACTGTTTTTAGTGGTAGTATGTGCAATTATATGTTTTGTTTCATTATCTTGAAGCAATGTATTTTAATGCTAATTCAACTCTGAATTTCATGATGGTACTCTTATTACCATATTTAGGATTGAAGAAGACATTTGCCCCATGACTACAAGTTTGATTATATAACCAAAGAAAATTATCCCAAAGGAAAAAAGTACAATTACACTGTTTACAAACTCTTAAAAGAAGCTTAGTAATTATAAGCTTAATAATATGTTTAATAATTTCAATTAGAAAGTATTTAACCTTACAAATGTGCAACAATTTTAGCTGAAAAATAATGCCACATCAGCACAGTAGCACTGAGCCCTTTAGGCATACAAGGGTTTTGGGTTCAACTCTGCCTGTGGCCATGAGTCATAGTAAAAATGGTACTATACCACAAAAATTAAGACCAAGATTTTTAAAAAGGAATCATACAATAGCTAACATACCAAAGTTATTATTTGACAATACTGGGCAATGCTGGATGGAAATCACTCATTTGGAAGTGAGATGTTCTAAAACAACTCCTAAGTAAGGGTTCTTTTTTTTTTAAGCTCAAAGTAAAACTTCAGAAGTGTTTTTCAGATCAATGGTTTAAAATCCAGTTTTGCATGTATCAACTCATTGCATTTTCTAATTAAGATTTAAAGAAAAACTCTATGCATTTAATAATTCATTCATTTGTGCTAATGCTTAATAGTCAATCCTCATATCCACATCTTTATTTCATCAACAATCATCTCAGACACACCTTCTGACAAGACTGACTTGAAACATTACGACAGGAAACTATGCCTTCAGGAGCATGTTTATTGTGTTTGAGATGATACATCAGTGCTCTCTGAGCTACAAAGGGTAAAAGGAAATCCTCTCATTACAAACTGACAAAGGTAAAACATTTTCACAACAGCATGAACCACATACTCAGAAATAGATCTGGGTTTAATACAAATGACATAATTCCTAGTCATCTACAGCTACTTTTATAACTTCATACAGATAATGAATTAGGCTAAAATGCACTATAATATTTGGTAGACTTCAGGACCAGTATCCTTAGTACATCACAAAATACATTTTGATATCCCAAAGAAGCAAGACTTGCAAGTAGGCGTTTTAAACATAACTAATCTACAGCTACAAACTTCTACTCTTGATAGCATTTACCTTTTTGGGGAGTCTCCCAGTCTCCAAAGGATAAAAGCAGAGAGTAGAATCAGTATAACATATACACAGAAGTCCGTATTGTAAAGGCTATAAAGATTTGCAGCACAGTGAGAAGACGCCTCCTGCCCCTTCACACTGCATACACATTGTGTCAATTATGTTGCGTATCTCTTGGTCCACTGTCTGGCTATCCTGTCATGTTCTGCTCTGTTGGTCAAATACTGAGTGGCTATGCTTCCAACCAGAGGATCCGCTGGAAAAGTGGAAACATTAAAAGATATTATGTGGTATCTTAAATGTACAGTTCTAATAGTCTATTAAGCTAAACACGTACATTTCAGCAGTATCCTGATACAGAATAGTTTGCTATTCAAAAGAAAAGAATGTTTAAGGTAATGTGACTATGTATTTTAATATACAAATTAAGAAAGCCTCTCACGAGAAAAAGAATGAGAGTTAAGGGGTTTAAGTTTTATAAAAGATACATGCCTTTAAAACTTATTTGTAGTCTTGGTATTTTCTTAAAAAATGAAAGTGCAGTAGATGGTTGCTATGGATATTAAATAACTCTTACAAACAACTCTCATAATCAATGCTATTCAGAGTGAACTGTTTCCTTCATTCTATATATAGTAATAACTCTAATCACCATCCATAGCACTATTAAAATACTTGCCATTTCACTTTAAGTAGAATTTCAAAATAAACTGAGATGTGAACTTTTATTCTGAATTTGTTTAAAAACCATATACACATGATATAATATTTGAGGTGTTCTGAATGATAATCAGTAAAAAAGTAAGAGCTCTCATTCTTCTGACTCTAACTACTCAGAATTTTCTTTCTCTGGTAAATAATTTTAACCTGTATACAACAGTTGTTTCAAAGATTTTATATGCACTTAGAACATTATCATTAGGTACATGTATTTTTTCCAGTACCCTGCTTTTTCACTTAATATATCTTAAGGATTTCTTCCTGTCAGTTTATACACAGCTGGGACATTCTGTTTAACAACTAGGCCCTCCAGTAACAAACACTCAGGTAAGTTTTAATCTTTTACTTAATAAATGATACCATTATGGACATGCATCTATCAGTTGTTTGAGCAACTGATCGCATGTATCTAAGCCAAGTGTATCAACTGCATATACACCAGGTCCCAGGTAACAGTGATCCTTTTTGGTGTTAAAAGTATCAAACACTCAGCAAAAGCAAGCCAACTCCTTTAAAAATAACCACACAGTGAAATAACACATGGGCCTCTGGATCTAAACATCACTTTATCACACCAGCTATTCAGGTGGAACTTTCTATGTGGTAGTTACACATTTCTAGAAAAGTTATGAATTAGATATTAAAGACTTTATGAGTTCTTTTTGTGAGTTCACATAATCATAATTGAGTTTAACTTTCATCAGCTATCATTCTAATGTCCATAAACACTACATCGAATATAACTAACATTACTCCAAAAAGTAGGGGAAAAATCCTTGCCTACTGACTGGCTGCCTTAAAGCATGCATGGAAGGAAAGAGAAGGAGGCAGCAGTATCAAAGACACTGCTTAAGTTCTTGATAGAAAATAGCTATATAGCTACATAATTCAGAAAAAAGAAACAGTATGAATGAGAGTAAACAATTACAAAGCAGTGTATCATTAACAAAATGAAGTTACTGAGAAACTTTTGACCTAGTTTAATTGAAATGGCATTAATAGTTTCTCTACAAAATGTTTTATACTGAGTTTTCTACCAACAGCAGTTATTTCTCAATCAACATTTAAGCTAATCAAGTAAATACACAGGTTTTTGTAGCCTTAGAGTATATGTTTATAAAGATTTGCTTACCAGGGTTGCAGTCTGTCAAAAGGGAACAAATAGACAGCAAAACCTTTGAAATAGTCAAAGCAGGACTCCAGTTGTCTTTAAGGATGTCCAGACAGATGACTCCCTGACTGTTGATGTTGCAGTGATAGATTCTGGTACGGAAAGTAACCTAAGTCACAGTGCAAACAGGAAAAATATATTACGAATGCTTTACTACCAACTAAAGCTCACCTGTAAAATATCACAGGTGATATTTAATCTTTCAATTCCTACAATTCCACTTTTGGAATGTCCATAACAATGGAACATAATATATTTTTTTCTTCTAGAATTCTTATTCCTTGAATTTTTCTAGGTGACACGTATGAATTTTAGGCAAAAATTCAAAAAAAATGCAATCCTTGGCATAAATGGGTTAATAGCAAATAATTTAATCAGTGCTAACCTGAGATTAAATTTCACTGCTAATTTAAGTGGTTTATTTGACAAAGTTAAAAGAAATATTCATTTTCTCCTGGCATAAAAAGAACTGTATTGGTTTTAAAACTAAGTGAGGAGTTGATCAATTAAATCTAGATGAACATTATAGTAATTCTATACATGTGTACATGTGCATGTATGCATCTGTCATATTATTTCTACACACAGTAACAGAGAAAGTAAGGAAGAGCTGAAATGTTTTGGAACTGAGGAAGATTTTCTTACAAGTTATATTAGTTCCTTAGTACAAGTGTCAGTACCAGCTCAGTTAACTTGTTGCCACACATCAGAAAGTAATGGAGAACTGAGAGGAAGGTTGATGAAATCGTGTACATTACTTGCCTTTCTATCTCTTGGCCTTTCATTTCCAAGTTGGTTAACTGCCTTGTTAGACTAACACATTAAAACAGTTTTAAGTAGCTAGATGAAAGCAGCATATATCCCTGACATGTGAGGAGAGATAAATCACAACAACAAATACTAGCAAATTTCAAAACAATAACTGGTGATTAATTCATTAAGTGTTTATCTTAGAAGAAGACACTTAAATCTCTCAAAAATATCCTTATGAAAGGAATGGAAGCACGAAATTAAGGAAGACAGACAGACAATCATAAACTCCAACAAATCACTGGTTAGCTGGAGGGAGGGTTTCATACCCCTCTAGAACTCCTCTAATACAATACAGTAGATAGATCTACTGTATCTCTATGTGGATGGAGAGATCTTAATTGCATCTAATCAAATTAAGATGAGCTAGAGGTATAAAATACACATCAAATTTTAAAGACTGGGTAGCAAAAGCAGACAGTAAAAGATCTCATTAGAATTTTAACTTTCTAAACATAGGTATCAGAAACCTTCAAATTACACATGTAGCATTGCATCATGTTTATTTTTTCCTTTAAACAGTGCTGCTGAAGAGTATGGGAATAAAACACGTTCAAATCATTGACAGGTCACTACTCAACGGATATAAAGTAGTTACAAATACAGTTAGTATTTAAACACTTTCAGCTATTAATGAGTGAACAAACTAGTATCCATGAACTGAAAAGTTATATTTTTATTATTTTTTATAATGTTCAACTCATTATGTGAACTTCAAAGAGTAAGTACTATAAACAGTGGTTCCTAACACTAAGATGATACCATAAATCTCACAGACTCAAGAATGCTCAACACTGTATCTTAGAGGACAGAAATATTAACAAATGAGAAAACAATATTGCAATTTCAGCAAAAACTTATGCTCAATTTATAAACAACCATTATAATCAAAGTGATTAGGATAATTCATATACCATACAATACTTGAAATCCTTATGACAATTCTTACTTTCCATTAAAATGAGATAGGACAATCTTTTTAATTCAATTTCACCCACATACAAAAATAATTTTGGGCAAAACACATCTTAACTTTCCCTCCTGATTTTGCTAATATAGTAAAATGAATGTCCAATATAGAAAACCAGCTATTTAGAAGTATCACTACAAATATACCCATGTAGTTTGCTAACCGTTTTTTTCTACAATAAAAAAGTCAATTGAGCAGTCATAGATCTACGACAGTAAATATGTTTAATTCTGAATGTGAATACAATTCATGGTATGATTAACATGGGGAGGACCTTTATTTAACAGATTCAGCAAGGCAGACGCTAAAGACCTGGGAGTAATTTAAAAGACACTAATATACTAATTTCAACATCTTAGATTCTGATAGAACCATACAGTAAAGCAATCAAAACACTGACAGCATTTAAGGAGAGCATCTCCAGGTGATAAAAACCTCGGCATCTGCAATTTGAGGTAAAGACCACTAGGTGGAACTACTGTTGCCTTGTTCAATACTGTCCTCCTGAGAACCCTTTTTTTTCCTTTCAAAAAAATCTTTACACACACACACGCACTAAATCACTACACAGATGACAATTACAACAGGGAACATATAATGAAAAGAAAAACATTTCATCATAGTTAAGGGCTACAGATCTGATAAAACACTTCCCTGGGATGTTCAATGTCTCTGTAACAAGAGTAAAATTATGCTCAGGTGCTGGTTTTTACCTGCAGGCAAGGCCATTTTAGAGTAACAAAGCAGAAGAGGAAGCCATTCAAGTAACTATTATGTTTAAGCTTTGCAAAATAACTGACAGTCATTACAAGGCACAACTCAAATATTCATCTACTACTTATTTGAAATGAACTAAAAGTCAACAGGTTACCCCACTACCCCTAGTTTCCATGACTCACTACATTATTGCACACAGGGCACAAAATGAATTTACTAAATAGTACTCATCTTCCTCCTTTACTCTATTTTCTAGTTTTTGTTTCTCTATAAAGGTAAAACTTACACTTTTAAACTATTACTCCTGAAAACTGCTAAACAAGTTTACTTTCCACCCAACCTCCTTAAGTAAGGTTCACAGGAAACTTCCCTTCATTTCTTAAGTACAAAATTTATGTTTTGCTCATATACAAAATTCAGCTTTTTAAAAAAATTAACAAGCCCTCTGATGAATGTAAAATTATCTGTTAAAGGTAGGAGTCTATTACTTTCAGTTTTAAAAGCCCTGCTTCTGTAACAGCTTCCCTATTAACTTATGAATAACTGTGAAATAAAAATGATTACATTAATACACATTTCAAATCTAGAATAAATGATTCTGGATAAGAAGAAATATTAAAGATTGTACTTCTAGGTTCTTACCTTTGGTGGCTTAAACGGATAATCTGATGAAAATGTGATATCCAGAAAAAACACACCACCTTCATAAACAGAACCTGGTGGCCCAAGTATAGTTGATCTCCATTCATAAATGTTATCTCCTTTAGGCCCAGCACTATTCAAAAGAAATTAAAAATCAATATACATATCTGTAAATAATGCCCGTTACCATCTTAAAAACTAATGGAGTATTAAAGTTAAATTAGCAACCTACAGCAAATGGCAACAATGTCTTCATACATGTAAAATTTATTCTCAAATATTTTAAACTTACGGAAAATTCCAAGAAATGTACAAAGAACACTTGTAAACCATCCAGAAGTATCCTTCATTTGCCTCCTCTCTTTCCAAAGACAAACACATATATGTGCACACACTTGTTTCTACACCATTTGAGAATAGGCTACAAATACTGTGGGCCTTTTCACATAAATATTTCAGTGTGCATTTCCTAAAAAATCTCCTACAAACTTCAATAGTTACAATTTCAGTAACTGCATCAACATAACAATTTAGAATCTGTATTATAAAGTTGTCAACTGACTGGGCAGTACTTTTTAAAAAATACATTTTTCTCCATGTGCAAGAGCCAGTCTTGGAATCAATTATGTCCTAGGTCATTAGCCTCCTTTAGCGTAAGTCCTTATAGCCTCACATTTAACATTTTTTGCAGTACATAATCCTTTAAAAAAAAACGAACTCATCACTTTGAGCTTATCTGGTGTTTTTGGATGATCAGACTCAAGCAATGCACTCTTGGCTGGAGTAGAGTACATAATTGATGTATCACATTAAAAGCACATGGTGTCTACCTATCCCACACTGGTGATTTTAAGCACCAGACAAGGTGTTGTATTACTTTTCCTACTGTTTAGTTACTTTTCCCTATAATGAATAAGCAATCTTAGGATAAATACTTTAAGACCATGTAAGTATTCTATTTCTCATCAAAATTTCTCTCCTTGATTTAACACTCATTTGTAATGCTCTGAACCTTACTATGACAGAGGCACAATCATGGTTTTTTTTGAATGTCAATCCTTGCTTCTGCCATACTTAACAGATACCCTTTAAGCCCTCTTTTCTACTGTGTGTGTGTGTGTGTGTGTGTGTGTGTGTGTGTATCCATAACTAGAACGGTATCACAGATTCCCACTTTTCCCCCATGCTTTATAAATTCACAGCTGCTTTTAATTATTTTGGTGTTCAAATTATTTCAGATTTGGCCAGTGGGAATTCCTCTAAAATGGCTTTTATGTTCTTGTAACATGCCACCATCAGCTTTTGAGCACTCCCTTTCTTTCCGTTATAACAAGGCTTCTACCTTTGCCCATTAGCCATCTCTTTTACCAGGTCTGGTACCTTCTCAAGTATCACTAGAAACCAAAATCTAAGGAGTAGATGCTACTAAGTCACACTTATACTTTGATACAATGCGCTTACCGCCATAGTTTCATTTATAAAATACAAATGAGAGAGACAGTTCAAATAAAACCTACCCTGATAATTACTTGCTGCAAAGGCAACTCTAAGTTTTTAAACCCTCTTCAAATATAGCTTACAGACTTCTACTTTAATCTTTACAGTATAAATTATCTTGGCTCTCTGAACAAGTATATGTATAAGGAGTTGTTCTTTTAAAGTGTCCATTAGTTTAGAAGTAATCTGCAAGTTCTATTTAAGTGGAAATCGGCAAAATCAACACATAGTAATTAAAGTAGTAAGTTAAAATAATTTAAGTACATATTAATTCTGTAAAACATGAAACTTCAAGTAAGTGACAGCAGCAATAATCAAACGTGTGTTCTGAGGAATGATTCAAACAAAAAGGTGGATGTTATAATATAGTTATAGGTAGCTTCAAAAATCCACCGTTAAAGCAGATATGTATGCACAGTAAAGTCTCACTATTTTGTCCTAATTAGGGGAAAATGTCTTTGAAAGTAAGTAACCTTCCGTAAGTGTTAAATACACATAGCAAAGGGCACTAATTCTGTAATGGCTCATTTCTTGGTCATCACTTGAGTACCAGGTATACCATGTAGTTCCTAGAAGAAAAAAGCCACAGAACTGAGTATCAACTATGTAAGAACAAAAAATTTGACCTGATTCAATGGCATTCCTTTCCCAAGTTACTTTTTCACTTGGTGACTCAAAATAATTATTACAAAATTACATTACAGTGTTGAGTTACAGCACTTCCAGTAAAATGTTTCATACTAGTAATAATATGTTAACCACTATTTACTTCATTTACTTCGTATTACTCGGACTTTTCAAGAGAGTAATGCTGTTATCTTCCTATTTTTAAATGATAAGGTACAGAGAGTTAAATAATCTTCCATATGTCACAATTGCAAGATGACACAATTTGAATGCAGGTAAGTTAAGTCTACATTTTCTTCAAAGGTTTTACTGTACTTCCACTTTTAGCGTTGCTACTTCTAACCTTGAATCAAATATTGCAAGTCCTTTCACTACCCAAGGTAAGCTGTTCTCCAAAGAAACCAAACTACCTCAAAGACTTCTTTTGGTTTTTAGCACAACCATGCTATCCTTCAGATGTCTGGACAGGAAGTAAATTGGGGATCACTGTTATGTTAACGGATCACAGAATTTTGTACTAAAAAAAATGAAGTTGAAACCAAAGCAATCTCTTTTAAAAAAACAAACAAAGGTCAGAGAGTAAAGAGTCCACCTTAGAAACCCTCTGCCAACTGGTGAAAGAGCTAAGATTCCTATACCATTATATTTCCTTTCTTTCCCACTTCTGCTTTTTAACTATAGGACAAAAAGTACTTTTATCAACATTAGAGCAGGGTAGTCGGTGTGGTTTTTTCTGTTGTTTTGGAGTAGACTGACCAGGATGCAGTATGCTAGTATGACTGATTTACCATACCCAAAACTCACTACTTAGCCTAAGCAAAGTGCAAGCAGTCCCGTTTCATTCTCTCAAAGGTACCACCTGGTAGCCAAGGTATAGGGAGGATAGGCGGGACATAAGAAGGCGTATGAGATAAGGGAAGCTGCAGGACTAAGTACACTTTAATTCAAACAAAGCGTTTTATAGGCAGGCTAGTGCTGACCTTCCACTGAAGCCTCAGTAGAGTAGAAAATGGATGATAAATGAGTTTCAAGATGGGTGTTTCACCTTTTGACTAGTTCCCACTCTCAAGATCTTTCTCTCTTCTCCACAAAGGCAGCATTTGAGCAACTCCCTACTCTCTCCAATCATCCATTTTTCCCTTTCAAGTGAAAAAGGTCCAAAAGAATCCAACAAAACCATTTCTCCAAACTTTATTAAAAACCAAACTCAATTTCTCTACCCCTTCCAGCTACCATCTCAATTATCATTTCTTTACTATCAAAACTCCTTTAAAGTGTTATCTCTACATGCTGTCTCCAATTTCTCTCCTGTGTTTTCACATTACCCCATTCCAAACAGGTTCTTCTTCTGTCTCACCACTGAAATAGCTCTTATCCAAATCACCAATGACCTCGTTACCAAAGCCAATGATCATTTCTCAACCCTCACAGTATTTGGTCCAGCAACATTTGACAGATTCTCCTTGATAAACTTTTTCTATTTTGTTGCTAGAATAATATACTTCATTGGTTTAGTTTTCCTGTAAGCTTTCTGGACTTCTCTCTTCCATTTCTATTGCTCTTTCTTGTTTCTCCAACTTTTACATGCTTCGGTATCTCAGACCTTGGAGCTCTTCCCTTTTCTAGCTACATGTATCTTACAGCAATCCCATGAATTTTATTCCTTCTAAAGCACAAATACAGTCTTAACTCCTAAATTTATATCTATGGTATAGATTCCTATTCTAAGTTCAGAGATAAATATCTAAACACTAAGCCTTGATTTTGAAATGTAATATCTGAATCAAGTAATTTTGGAAAGCACCTTTGGAAATCACTTAAGACATTCCAAAACAAATTCCGAACACAGTGGTACCTCGGTTCAGAAACTTAATTCTTTCCACAATTCTGGTCACAAACTGGACGAAAACCAAATGAAATTCAGTGGTTAGGTTCTAGGCTGACCCTATGGGAAAATCTGACTCAGTTCTCATCCAATTCAGTTTGCAACTAGAATCGTGAAAGTTAAGTTCACGAACCAAGGTACTACTGTATTACAACTACAATCTTTCCTATTTCATCTAGTAGTTAACTCCGTATATCCCAGTTCCTCTGGGAAGTTTAACCACATCTTTGACCTCTTTCTTTTCACCCCATCCAATGTAGTAGCTCGTTCTATTGTTTTTAATCTTTGAGCCACACCCCTTTTTCTGCTCAACCCCACTGGCCCAACCTTATTTAAAACATCAGCACCTCTACCTGGTTAATTGTAATAGTTTCCTGCATGGATTTCTGACCCTATCTCCACACAACAGTAGTCTATTCTCTCTTTCTTTTTGAATTAATTAAGCTTATTGGTACATTTTAGATATATGTAATGATCACATTCATCATAGGGAATTTGTACCTGTATCTTGGTTCCCCCTCCCTTCTACTATCCTCCCTTCAATTCCTCTTCCCCTTCTTATTTACAAAAGCTTTGTTCCCATTTTTCCTTCTTTTCTCATTTTTTTCTTTCCTCTCCTTCCCCTTCCCCCTCCCTAGGACCCTTTTCTTTTGAACATTTTCTTCCTATTTTAAAGTAACAGTACTCTATTCTCAACCAGAGTGACAGCTAAAAAGTAAATGCAATCATATGATCCTTGTAAAAACAAGCAAATAAACAAAAACTTCCAAAAGCTTAACTTCTTGTTTTGTGTTAAAGTCAAAGAAAGTATTATAACCTAAAATGATGTATAATTTGTTACTGCCCCAATCTTCCTCATCTGTTACTCTCTTCTTTGTTCAGCTGGTTGAGGCAATGATGTTTATCAAACACAAAATGTACACCTCCATCTCAGCGTCTCCAAGCAGTGTGTCTCCGCTTTGAAGACTCTCTTCCTAGGTACCCATGTGTTTAGTTTACTGAAATGTAAATAACAACACCCCGCCCCTAGAGAAAAAAAAAAATCAATCATTAAAATGCATAATTAGGGACTCAATTTTTTTGTTCAAATGATTTAGCAAATGTTGTGGCTTATGTTCAGATGT